GACATACTTGTTAAAATAAAAGACGTTATAAAGAGTTACGGAAAATACACAGGAAATAAGTGAACGTTTGTCCAAGCATCTATTTTCCCTTATAATTTCCATCAAAACTAGCTAATTATTCAACAAGAGCAATAGGCAGAGTTACTCAACAGTGTGCAACACAATTCGGATACCACAGGCCAACTTACGCTGCTTGACTTTTTCGTAAAAAAGGAGTGAACAGTTTTTTGCCGCTTTGAACTCATCGCGAGCTCTATGAATGTTGGATACAGCGCGAGACCGCGGATGCGAGCTAGGGCGTGTCATGACGTGACGGAGTGACTGATTGCCATGGAAACGTGAACGTCATGTATAGACTATCTTCTCTTTTAATTTTAAATCATTCTGCATTTATATACATCGCTCCATTAAAACCTCAACATGTCGTGAACACAACTCTCCAATAAAAAAGTGCGGGGGACGAATTTACTTTTTATAAAAAGTGGAGGGGACATGTCCCCCGCGTAATCTACGCCCCTGGCAGAAACACACACACACACTCATTATTGTTATTACTTGTAACATTAACATCAACATTGACTTAAATTTTTAATAATTTAATTGAATAAATTAACATCAGTGTTTTAATATGTCTCATATCTCTGTAGCACACATGGTGACAGATAGAAAGGTTAGAGATGAGCAGACAGTCCATGACACTGACACACAGCAGCTGTGGAAAGAACAAGATTATATGGCTGCACATATAAACCAGCCGCCTTATGGGTTTATTCTCTCAGCTGTGGATGTTTAAAAACAGCTCAGTGTCACGTACAGCAGCGTGTTTGTTAATGAAACACCTCCTTGAAAGATCTAGACTAACACATTTCTACAGCCCATTGCTCTCGTGCTGTTCCCTGTGGGAAAACTAGGTCAAACCAGATTAAGATGGTCAAGCTGGGTTTAGAAAGCTGGTAGCTGGTGGTCTGCTGCAGATTCAAGATGGTCTACCAACTCAAAAAAAACCATTAGAAGCTTGTTTCAGTTGGATGTCCCAGCAAGGTTTACACTGCCCATTACACCACAGGATAAGCTTTTAATTCTCCACCGGTGTCTGGTTCTTGAATCTGTCTCATAGTCTTTAGGTTGGACCGATGCCCAGGTCTCTCGTGTTTTTGTCTAAGTGTCCCTCCCTGTGGCACCACCCTCATGCTTCAATAGACTGAAAAAGAGCATATTTTTCTAATCTCTGTGTCCTGAATATTTTTTTTCTTCTCAAGCCTTCTGCTTCAAGAGAAGCCAGAGTGCTGGTTTTTATTCAAAGTAATGATCTCCAAAACAAAATATGAGCTGATCTATTTTTACTCTGCTAGACACACTTTCTCTGTGCAAAACCTTGAATCTAACACATGCAACAGCACCACTGTCATGTGATGTGCATGTCTTGACTTGGACTCCAAAATAATTCTACATGAATAAACATTACAACAGTAAACATTTTTTACTTATGATTGTTAATGGTGTTTATTAACATCTCAACACCATCACAAATCATAAATGACAACCAAGTTTTTCATTATTTTATTATATTTCATGAATGAAAAAACCGTTGTCAACATTTTACAATACTTTCTTCTGATCAGAATATAATTAATAAATAACATCAAATATATATTTTTCAATTAAAATATTCCACTATACAATTGAACAATTAAACTTACAAAGGAAACCATATGAAAAAATCATTTTAATGTTTCCATATGGTTTGTGCATTGTACATTAATAACTTTTTTTAAATAAATTGTGTGAAATATGTGTATATTTCAACAGAATATGCGTTTGGAAGTACTTTTCAACAACATTTTCTGTTTTAAAAACAAATTTACAGAAAACATTCTATAAAGACATTGTATTTGTGTTACAAAGGCAAAAAAAATTTAATAAACCAAATATAACAAAAAATAAATAAACTGCAATTATTTTCAAGTGACCTGAGGGTGAGCAAATGATGACATAAATCTTCATTGTTAGGTAAACTATCTTGAGTGTTTGTGCCCATTCATAACTGAAAGAGGGGAAAAGGTGTTGCGTCAGTATGCAGTGAATGCCAAACGGCCTTATCTCACTCTTCCCTTAAGATTAGTCCAGTTTCATCAGCTGTTATTCTGCAGGATCTCGCGTGATGCAAGGAAAACACTAATTTACAGTTTTTTTTCCTCCTGGCCTTTATCCAAGTGAAAGCATTTTTTCTCACCGACATAATTAACAGTACAGTATCCTAATCTGCAGGCATGAATTGTGAAAAAGATCTGCGGTTGTGTGGTCTGAACTGCAAACCCTGTGGCTCTGACGTTTTCCTTCATCTTTGAAAAGAAATCACATGAGTCAGCGAGGCAAGGAGAGAGAGGCCTTCAGACGCCATTCCTTCATGTAATAACACTGAAAGAGATCCCATCTTTTTGCTGGACCGGCGGCCAAGAAGTGTAAAATCTCTCACTCTGCTGAATGTGATCTTGTCAAAGGGGGCATTAAATATTGATCAGGAAAGAAGATGGTCAATAAGTCAGGATTCAGATGTTCTGCTGGGAGCCCGGCAGCCACAGTCAAACACTGGCAGAATTGTTATGGATCTGAGAGAGATGAAGGAAATTCTGCTGCCCATCTGCTCTGAATATCACGTAGTGCTTTCAAACACGTGCCATTGTCTAAAGGGGAAGGGTGTCCTTTTGTTAAAATATCCTTTGCAACTATTGTTGTTGATTTAATTGATTTTATTGTGTTCTTATACACTACCAGTCAAAAGTTTTTGAACAGTAAGATTTTAAATGTTATTTTTAATGTTTTTTTTAAAGAATTCTCTTCTGCTCACCAAGCCTGCATTTATTTGATCCAAAATACAGCAAAAACAGATATTGTGAAACATTTTTACTATTTAAAGTAACTGCTTTCTATGTCAATATATTCATCACTTTCTGTGATCAAAGCTGAATTTTCAGCATCATTACTCCAGTTATTACTCTCCAGTGTCACATGATCCTTCAGAAATCATTCTAATAAGCTGATTTGCTGCTCAAGAAACATTGGGGGGGGGGGGGGGGGGCTGTACATTTTAAAAGATTGATTAAGTTGTTAATGTTTAATTCGTTAGACAAATTTTGATGATAAACTTGTATTAAATAATAAAATACAGAATTGAAAAAACAACAACAAAATTTAGAAGAAAAATGGATTTCACAGAGCAGTGTTGGGCAGTAACGCATTACTTAGTAACGCGTTACTGTAATTTGATTACTTTTTTTAGTAACGGAGTAATTTAACGCGTTATAATTTTCAAAATAGTAATTAGAGTATAGTTACAAGTCGAAGTCTCTATACGTTACTGCCGCGTTACAATGCTGACAGAATGCAGTGTTTTATAATCTAGAGATTGTAAAAAGGATGTAGAACACGCACTGTCGAGTCAAGTGCCAGTGGATTAGAGACCTGCTCCCACGAGACCCGACACAACAGAGTGCGGCACGAGACAAGATGGGCGGGCGGGTAGACACTCGCGTGTATGCTGGGATTTCATCAATTTAATGGAGAAAAAAGTAACGGAACTAGTAATGTAACTACTTACTAATTACTTTTTAAATAAAGTAATCAGAACCGTAACGTGATTACATTTAAAAGGAATAATCAGTAATTTGATTACATTCTCAGAGTAACTTGCCCAACACTATCACAGAGTGCTAAATTGCTAAACTCTGTAGAGTTTAATTGTGAACAGGCTAGTCATTTTTACATTCAAACATGTGAAAAGCATTTTCTTCCCTATTTAAAGGGATAGTTCACCCAAAAATGAAAAATTTATGTTTATCTGCTTACCCCCAGGGCATCCAAGATGTAGGTGACTTTGTTTCTTCAGTAGAACACAAATTATGATTTTTAACTCCAACCGTTGCAGTCTATCAGTCATATAATGCATGGCAATGGTAACAAAATCTATTAGAGTAAAAAAAACATGCACAGACAAATCCAAATTAAACCCTGCGGCCCGTGACGACACATTGATGTCCTAAGACACAAAACGATCGGTTTGTGTGAGAAACCGAACAGTATTTATATAATTTTTTTACCTCTAATACACCACTATGTCCAACTGCCTTGAGTGTGCGCACGTCATTCTGTGCGTGAGGTGTGTATGCACTCTGGCGTAGTTTACGCAAGTGCCGGAAGTGATCTCTCGCGCGTATACGTCACTCATTGTTTACACAGTGCAAGTACGATGGCTAATCAAAATGGTACTTACTTGTGCTTATCCGGATTGTTCAAACCGACTTAAAACTAAAAGATTCGTTTCTCTCGCGCAAACTCATTCGGGAGTGGTGACTTTCCACGTATTCCCAACTTCTGAGCCTGCTCGCCTGAAGTTATGGTTGATTGCTCTTCGGCTGGATATCAACACACCCATTAACGTAAACTACGTCAGAGCGCATACACACCACACGCACCCGATGCCGTGCGCGTGCTCAAGGCAGTTGGACATAGTATTTATATCATTTTTTTTACCTCTAATGCACCACTGTTCAGTTTCTCACACAAACCGATCGTTTCGTGTCTTAGGACATCAATGTGTCGTCACGAGCCGCAGGGTTTAATTTGGATTTGTTTGTGCATGTTTTTTTTACTCTCATAGATTTTTTTACTATTGCCATGCATTATACGACTGATAGACTGCAACGGCTGGAGTTAAAAATCATCATTTGTGTTCTACTGAAGAAACAAAGTCAGGAATGCCCTGGGGGTAAGCAGATAAACATCAAATTTTCATTTTTGGGTGAACTATCCCTTTAATGGTAAATTAATATCATGCTAAATATCGATATTGTAAGATATTTTTGGCCATATCACCCAGCACTCTCTATCTTACGCATACATACTGTAAAAACTTGCAGGAGTTCAAGCTCTCCAACAGGTAACACACCGACACATCTTTTACATCTCAAACAAGTTTAATTTTAAACTTCCTGACAGTCTCCGTTGATTGAGAGGTTTTCCGTTGTTTTCCAGACAGCGCTTGATAGCCGAGGGCAGAGGGGCAGGACTCATGTCATCCATCATTTCCACGGCATCTCGCCTTCTTAGGGACATCTGTGCAATCAGTGGACCATCAGCCCCCGAGTCAGGCACGGCTGCCTCCGTCCAATCCCACAAATGGTCATCAGGACAGAACAACAGCACTGACAACCTCGGCGGACAAAACAGGAAACAAGAAATGGGTATTTTTCTTACTCCTCATTGTCATTTTATTTATGCCACTGTCTCAAGCAGCGGGGCTTGTCTCATTCCCGTCAATCTGATGGTCTTATTTTCAAAAGGGATCATCTTTCGGAACCCAATTTGTCAAGGGTGAACTCTCATTCCTCTGTTGCCTTCAAAGCTTCTGACAGAAACATTTATGCCAGCTTCGACTTAACCAGGGTGAATTAAGCTAACATGAAGTAAAAACTGCATAGGGAGCTGAATAAATTCAGAAATGTATCCGAATTTTCAAAAAAGAAAATGATCAGAGTTGCAATAAAATTCAGATTCTATTTGACTCTGATTCACACCCTCTTGATTGAATTCATTTTAGATTTTAATTCATTTTCAATTTATTTTGCCATATTTCATGTATGTCAACTTTGCTTCTATATGAAAGAAACTGTCTCAGCTAATTCTGCATATTATGCAAGTACATTTTTAACTGGGTACATAAAAATGTTAACTATAAAAGTTAACAACAGGGCTCAAACTTCAGTTCAATAGCTAGTTATTTAATAGATATAATAACCACAAATCAGCTGAAGTAAACTTCAAAAGGAACGATTCATTAAAAGAACTGGTTCATAAGTGTCATTAATGTATACTTTTGATTCACCAAAAATAACCAAGAATCATTTGTTAATAATAATAATAATAATAATAATAATAATAATAATAATAATAATAATAATAAATCACTTGTGTGTGTGTATATATATATATATGACAGACAGGGTGACCGTCCTCGATTAAATTGCCTTCAGGACTCTTATAAAAGCCAAAATACGACCAGACCACCGATTTGGTCCTCTTAGATGGCTGAAAAATCTCCCGAGCGCTGTCACTGACTTACACCATTTCCGCTCGTGCAAAAAAAACAACAACAACAACACGGCATGCTGCTTCTGCATCAGACTGATGCTGGCTGGACAGGATTTACCGCGAGTTTTCAAAATTGCGATAATCAAACACGGTTTTGATGATAATTAAATTTTAAACGGTAATACTTACCGTCAGGGCATTTTATCGTGATTTATCGTAAAACCGGTAATCGTTACATCCCTAATAGGAATTATTATATTTTATAGACAAACACCCCTTATATTCTTCAGAAAATATAAAATTTCAAAATATATTTTATATTTTTCTATATATGTTTCTACCGAGAAAATACTCCCTTTCTTTTCTATTGCAGATAAGTGTTTCATGAGTTTCTAAAAATGAAAAAAGCATTTGTTGTTACTCATTAGTGTTTGCTAACTAACGTGACTTTGAACGTTAATTGCAATATTTTCCAAAGAGATATGAAATCTGAAAATGGCACAGCAAGGTCAGCGCATTTGTAAAATAACAAGATGTTTGCACAGCAGCTGTTCTCCGTGCGAGAAAACAGCGACAAAACAACCTCCCACCTCTAATGAAAAGATCTGTCCACCTGAACACTCTCATGCTCTCTGCAGCACGTCCTGATTTCACTGTCCTTTCCACAAAAAACCCTGCAGTCGCTTGGCTGTTTTTAGACAGAGACTCAGTGAACAGGATGTTAATGGATCATCAGAGATCTGACGGGGGCGCTGCCATCAGGGGGAGGAGGTGGAGAAACAGGGAGAGGGGCTGAACAGAAAGCCCTGCATTATTTATCCAAAGTTAAAATTAATAAGGTCAGATTCATCATTGTCTCCTTCTTCTGCTGCTTGAATTTTTAATGTTATTCATTGGCTGAAAAGAGCATTCACCAACCCTGTGTTAGATTATCCATCAGGAGTTGATCCCTCACAGAGCTGCAGGTCTGAAGAGGATTATGGGTAACTTATCCCGAGTTAATGCCAAAAACTCTCCCGCACAGATCATCAGAGAAAAATGTAGTAACCTACACTGCTCTTTACTCACTTACTCTGCAACCAGGTGCCTATATTTCAGTTTATCCATCCATCCATCCATCCACCCATGGAAGTGCATTTTCAGAAAGCTGAGAATAAATTACAATTTGCATATGCCCTAATATTGAAATTCTGACCAATAATAAGCATTGCATCATTAAAACGTACAGTACAAAAATGTGCATTTATAAGTAGGATTTGCTAGAGATTACATTTCTTAATGTTACATTTAGTGAGCGCTAAATGATAGCAAAACTAATCTTATCATAAAAATAGGCCAATGGTACCAATATATGCATCCCTGGGACAATTTTTACATTGATATTGGCACACTGTACATCATACTTCAAAAGTAATGTACTTTACGATTGCTGGCATGCTTTGCACATGCATATGGTTTAAGATTCAAACAGAATAAAGGAGGAGTAAGAGAGAGAGAGGAGGAGGAGTCCTGATCTTTACTCCTCTCTGCCTGGCTGGTGGCAGCAGGTGTGCCTCTGTCTTGAGCTTATGGCATCAATTTAAATGACAGATAATTACTTTTGTGACAACGTGCCAATGAGATTAGGCCCAGGCAAACAACATAACAGCAATTTGCTCTGCTCTGGAGAGCAATAACACCAATCATAATTAAGAACTATGGCCAAAATACCAAGCTGCTGCATATCGTTGAATACAATTACGTTTCGCCAAAAAAAAAAAAGAAAAGAAAGAGAGAGCGAGAGTAAGAGTGAGAGAGAGCGAGAGAGGAAGAAAAAAAGACCAGTCTGCCGTGAGACGCCTCTCCTGGGTCTTTTTTCAGAATGACATAAAATGATTAATTAACTCATTAATCCTCCTCTTTTTCTTAAATAGATGTTGTCAAAGACCTGTCAGCCTAATTTCGGAAAGCCACAGTCAGGAAGCTAGAAAGAGTTTTGCCGCAGTGTCCGTTTAGCTTTTCATGTCAAATCCAATCAAAGTCTCAATAAAGACTCGCTCCTGTTTGCGGTAACATTCGGCCGTCATAACATTGAATCTTACAGCATAGTGTCATCTAAACCCAATGAAGCATCTAAATTCACCCACTTTACAGTTTGTGGATATTATAATATTTGTTCTGGAGGGCTGCTGGAAGTGGAAGTGTATTGATCTGTCAATCTTTTAGTTTGTCTTAAAAGACAATGACACCAAAAGCATTTAACCTCCATAGTGAAATATATTTCTGAGTGACAGAATGTAGGGTGGGATCTGATTGGATTGTGACATGTTAGGCCATAATATTATTGAAGAGAAAACTTGTTTCAGAGGCAGAGAAAGCCACTGCATTCTGATAAATTGTACCCAAAAAACTCTTTCGAATAACATGCACTGATATGCATAATATGATCAAGGAAATTAAATGGGTCAATTTCACAATCTTTAAGCAGAGATAAAATCATCAACTCCAGCATGAAGGTGATAGAGAAGCAGTATGACTCTACCTAGGAGACAATCTGGGGTAAGTGTCCTTAATAGCGACAAATGACCCTTGTAATACATTGACCAGCAGACCGCCACAAAGCCCACCGTCAGGAACAAAAGCATCTCCAGCAGAGCACCAAGGATACAGCTCCAGCATTGATTATGTTAATAGCACACACCTTCAGCTCTGATCAAGGAGACACAGTGGGGCCAGCGGGCTCTCATATACACCCTACTTGTGTCATCTCACCAGGAGAGTCTTCCATATAATTCATCATTAATATGATTTGCAGAATCGCGTAATCTGCCTTTAGGAATGAACAGGAAGTTGCTGAGAGCTCAAGCTGCTAGAAGATCTGCCCTGCAGTGAAGTGAATCTTGGCTGCACCCAAAATCGTCTCCCAGGAGTAAAGCACCTATCTAACGAGAGCTCGGTTTTAGCAGCCAAATCAGAAACATGCAGCCTCTCCACTGAATCAGACCTAAAATATTACCCAGGAGGCTTTGTCTGTGCGTGAAGGGGACATTTAGCTGCAAATGCTCATCTTTGAAAAGGCTGTTTGCCTGTTCAATAGAAAGAGGGAGAGAGCAGGAAGAGGCCTTGGGTTTGCCTGTCAGTGGCTGCATGAATATTGTATCTTCTGGCATTTGCCTTTTGGGGCCTTAAGAGGAATGAACGGATGACAATGTCAGTCACCGCCTGCACAGTTTGAGATGTCACAGGGATTCTGATTTATTTATTCAGGTTTACGGGGGGCAGGGAAGAGTTACAGGGTGAATCTAATGGAAGCATGTCTGGGTCACCTCAAAATAAAAAATATATAATATTTATTATATATACACAGATAATATTTTTAAATATAATACAATATAATATAATTACATTTCAAATAATAATACAATGAATAATAACTATTATCATTATTATTTGTATTAAATTCTGAATAAAGAACATTTTAGAACATGTTACAAAAATAATTTGTTATATTAAACAAATAAAAATATATCATTTATTATACAAATATATTAAAGTACTTACAGTTGAAGTCAAGTTTACATACACCTGGCACAATCTGCAAAATGTTAATTATTTTACCAAAATAAGAGGGATCATACAAAATGCATGTTATTGTTTATTTAATACTGACCTGAATAAGATATTTCACATAAAAGATGTTTACATATGGTCCACAAGAGAAAATAATAGTTGAATTTATGAAAATGACCCCATTCAAAAGTTTCCATACACTTGATTCTTAAAGGGATAGTTCACCCAAAAAGGAAAATTCTGTCATTAATTAATCACCCTCATGTCGTTCTAAACCCGTAAGACCTCCGTTCATCTTCGGAACACAAATTAATATATTTTTGATGAATTCTAAGAGCTCTCTGACCCTCCCATAGACAGCAATGTAATTAACACGATCAACGTCCAGAAACGTAGCAAGGAGAACTGTAAAATAATCCATCATGTGACATCAGGGGTTAAACCGTAATTTTACGAAGCTACGAGATTACTTTTTGTACGCAAAGAAAACAAAAGTAACGACTTTATTGAACAATTCGTCTCCTCCTCCACCCTAGCGGCATTTTGGAAACGTTGTTTTCGTTCAAATCAAAG